AAGTCCCAAAACACCCTAAAAGCCCTCTAAAGCCTAGAACCCCCAGAAACCCCAACCTAAGCCCTAAACCCTAAACCCTAAACCCAAAACCCTAAACCCCAAACCCTAAACCCTAAACCCTAAATCCTAGACCCTAAACCCTGGCGGCCCAGTGGCCCATCCTTGTCTCCCGACTCGGCAGCCTTGAGGAAGTACTGGGCCGCCTCCGAAACGGGCGTAGGGTTTAGGGCTTAGGGCTTAGGGTTTAGGGTTTACGGTTTAGGGTTTAGGGTTTGGGGTTTAGGGTTTGTGGGTTTGTGGGTTTGGGGTTTCTGGGTTTGGGGATTACACCCTCGGCTTGACCAGCGAGTCTCGGTGGTCTCAGTACAGGGCTGAGGGTTTGCAAGACCCAAGGGGAATAACAAAGGGTACCCCTTTTGGTTTTAAGGGAACCGAAACCCTAAAAACACAAAGGGCATAAGGGCCTACTCTGGGTCCTAGTTTCATGAGTTCCAGGGCACCTCAGCGCAGCTTTCTGGGCGATGCAGTCACTCGGGGTGTAGGGTTTAGGGTTTAGGGTTCAGAGTTCCGTTCGGGAGCCTTCGTCTGTCGGAGGTGGCTTTTGGGGGTTTCAGGGCCTTGGAATTTAATCTTTTGGGTTTGTGGTTCGGAGTTTAGGGGCCCAGTGCATGGCCTTTGGCTTTGTGATTAGGCGTCTTCGGGGCCAGGGCTTTGGGGATGAAGATTGGGGCTCTGCACTGAGCCCCGAAACCCCAAACCCCAACTCGTCGACCCTAAACCCATTCAAGGGACTCAAGTAAAAAACCTTATAAGGGAGCTTAGGGGATATGTAGGGACTATTGAGGTATAGGGGCTTGATAAGGTGTGCATATATATATATATGTATATCATATGTATATATATATAGGGGTTAAATAATTAAATAGGGGAATCAATTTTAATCTAGGGGTCCCTCCTTATACCCCTTCGGGGCTGTGGGGGGGGGGGGGGGGGGGGGGTTTACATAAGTTTCTAGGGTGCAAGGCGAACCCATCAACGGTGTTTCAAGTTCGCCTGGGCATTCTCCCTAAACCCTAAGCCCTAAACCCTAAATCGCAAATGGGGGTATCCCCCTAATACACTCCTCTGAATGCTCGGAGAGGGGCCCCCTCAATGCGGTGCTGCAATCAAGAACCTAAGCCTTATATACAACCCCAAGGGTCGAGGGCTGGTTTGGGCATCTACCCTTAAAGACCCCAAACACCTGAAGCCCGAGCTGCTGCACCCTAGATCCGGGCTGCAAAGGGCTGCCTACCAGCTGCTTTCGATCCCTGTAACATAATACACACGCCGAACAGATTCAAGCAGGGATTAAGGTTCAGGGCTTAGGATATAGAGGCCCGTACTTGGAGGTTCATGGTACTTATTCACCAGTTATAGCTGTGCTTATAACTGTACTTACAACCACATTAGGGCACTTAAGGGACTTTTAAGTGGGTACAAAGCACGATAATTTGTGCCATGAACCTCCAAGTGCAACTTCAAGAAGGCTTGGGACGCTGGCCTTCTCCGGGTCCGCCTGCACGACGTCACCTGGCGGTACAGTCTAGGGCCAACCTGCAGGAAAAATAGACCCCTAAACCTGAAACCTACACTTGAATCCTGAAACCCTAGAGTCTATACCCTTGAGGAAGGGTAGTGTACCTCAAAGCTGGGCATTCTTCCTTGCTTTAAGGGTATATGGCAGATTCTTTTGATAGGGCTTGTGGCTTAGGGCTTAGGGCCTACCGCTTGAGCGTTTATGAAGCCTAGGCATGAAGGATACTAAACCCCAAACCCGGTTCATCAAGCGAGCCAGCAGCCGTCTAAACCCGCAGGTAGAAGACGCAACTGCTAAAGCCTACATAGACGAACGTTTAGACGGACCTTCCGGAAGCGGAAGGCGAAAGGTCGATATAGCCGTTCGGCACCGTAAGCCTTAACCCCGAAACTCCGAAACTCCGAAACCTTAAACCCTAAACCCAAAACCCTAAACCCAAAACCCAAAACCCAAAACCCAAAACCCTAAACCCTAAGCCCCAAACCCTAAACCCTAAACCCTAAACCCTAAACCCTAAACCGTTTACCCTAAACCCTAAACCCTAAACCCTACCCGAAACACGAGCATGGCATTTCGCATCGGGGTTTGGGGTTCCTACAACAAAAGGCAGTCAGGGGCCGCATCCGCGAACTCTCAAGCCCTTGCGCCCCGCAGCCTTTCCCTTACAAGCTAGCCCAAGACTGGTCTAGGGTTTAGGGTTTAGGGTTTAGGGTTTAGGGTTTAGGGTTTAGGGTTTAGGGTTTAGGGTTTAGGGTTTAGGGTTTAGGGTTTAGGGTTTAGGGCTATCCAAGTTTTGTGGGCAGGCCTTCTAGCAACATCTTTCCCAGGATGGTCATGGATTCCGCGTCGCCCCGCGAAGCCGCCTCGCGAGAAGGGCTGGAGACATGTAGAAGCCCCCAGAAAAAATGCCGTAGAGTTTCGGGTTTCGGGTTTCGGGTTTAGGGTGTGGTGCTTAGGGTGTAGGGCTTAGGGTCTCGACGGCCTAAAGGACGCTGGGATTTGCAGAGCCTAAGGTGGTTTGGTGACTGAGGGGTAGGGGGCGGGGCGTGCAGGCTTGTGGGCTTTAGGATGTCTTTGGGCTTTAAGGCTTTCAGGTTTCAGGTTGAAAGGTTTAAAGGTGTAAAGGCTAAACTTGAGGTTTATATTTTATGTGTTCGAATGCAGGTGTTCAACGCAAGGCTCACGTGTGACAGTCTAGCTTTCGGCGCGGGCCAAAACCCTTAACTCTAAGGGCTTGATCCTGTGTATGTACGGTTTAGTAAATTTAGGGTTTAGAGTTTACAAGCCCTGAACCCTCAACCCTAAACCCTTAGGGCTTGGGAGCTTCGGGTTTTTTTAGGGCTTGGACGTTGGGGCTATCGGGTCTGTGGAGCCTCCTGCAAGATTTCCAGCTCCTCGGCCGTCAGCACTGGCCTCCCTGACAGGGTAAAGAAAACCCGAAACCCGAAACCCGAAACCCTAAACCCGAAACCCGAAACCCTAAACCCTAAACCCCAAACCCTAAACCAGAGGGGCTTCTTCGGTTCAGGGGTTCTACGGGTCTGGAGCTTCGGGTTGAGCTCAGAATAGAGGGCTTAGAACGGCTTAGGGTTTAGGGTTTAGGGTTTAGGGTTTAGGGTTTAGGGCTCCGGGTTAAGGGTTTAGAGGTTTAGGGATTAGGGTTTAAGGACTGTTCAGGCTGTAGTTGCTGCGTCAGGGGCCTGACACTCGGTAGCTCTAGTACGCGATTCTACGGTCAAGTACAGCCGAAAAGGATCTGGAATGATGGGGGCCGTCTCGATATAGGCCTCTTGTTAAGGTCATGTCCTCGTGGCTATGGAACTCCAACGGGTATATACCATGGCTGGCGTCACCCTGAGCCCTAAAATCCGAACTGCAACCTCTAAACCCCAAGAACCTTAAACCCTGAAAACCCTAACAAGCCAAAAAAACCCTACAAACCCGAAACCCTAATTCAGCCCTGGACCCTACAGACCTAAAGCCCCTACAAACCCTGGGACCCTCGGTGCTTGACTTTTCTTCCTCTGCGCGTGTGAACGAGCTGTGCAAGTCCGAGCAGTGCTGCGTGCCGTTTAACAGGCGTTGAGACCCCCACCACCAAAGTCTCTCAGACTCCTTGTGTGATAGAGCTTGAAGTTTGGTTTTCGGGTTTGGGGGGTTAGGGTTTTAGGGTTTAGGGCCTTAGGGTTTAGGGTGATATGGTGTGAGGGTATTAGGGTTTAGGGTTGGGGCTTATCGTACTTCACCAATCACGAAGGAATGAAAAAGGTTGCACTTCATTATTCCTACTACATAGGAACCCCAAAAGTTTGAACTTCGCTCCTGGGCAAAATAAGTTATGGGTTTTGGGTTTGGGATTTCAGGGCTTAGTGGTCAGGGTGGTTTAGCAGCCGACAGTACTACCATATGGTCAGTTCTCAAAACTATGGTTCCTTTTTGTGTTCCCTAGAGGGGCCGCCTTGTAATCAGGACCCCCCGAAAGCGACCATATTTTGGGGCAGTGACCATCTAAGCTTCATATTACATATTGCAAGCTAGTAGAAGTTCCAAAACTTAACCAAAACCAGAAGATGACGACATGCATGCCTGGGCGAAGAGGGGGCCGTAGGAATACACAAGTGTTTGGGGTTTAGAGGGTTTAGGGGTTAGGGAAGGTTAGGGCTTATATAGGGTTTATGTGGTTTGAATAGGAATGGTAGGGTTTATCGGATTCATAGGGTTTAGGGTTTAGGGCTCGGGCACGTCCGCGCCCAGCACCCAGCAGGTTTTGCCCGGAGGCTCATCGCGGCATCGAGGAGGGAAAACTGTCCGCGGTGTCCTGCGGCCGCACCAGACTCTTTGAAACGGCTTATGCTAGGTTGCCCAGTAGTAACCTTGGATGAAAAAGGGTGCCCTTTTTTGCTTAAAGGGGTTTATAAGGGAACCTAAACCTACCAAACAGGGAATAAGGGTACTACTGGGCATCCTAGTATGGGTTGGGATGTTGCCCCTTATAAGAACAATCCTTAGAAGGGACTTATAGGATCCCCCTATGAATAGTCCCTCTGAAGGACTGTCAGTATAGGGGGGAACATCCCAAGTTATAGGGATTCTAGAGAGTTCATGTGGCTTCGGCTTACGGAGAGCTTATAGGGTTTATAGGTTTTTTGTCGGGTTGTATATAGGGTTTCTATGGTGTTTATAGGGTTGCAGGGTTGATACGGTTTATAGGGTTTCAACAGGGTTTGGAGGGTTTATGGGGCTTACTTGTAGGGCTTCGGGGAGATGCCCCTTCTGAGCACAAAGGAGAGTTGATGATTGCCCTAAACCCTAAGCCCTAAGCCCTAAGCCCTAAAACCTAAACCCTAAACCCCAAAAGAGGCGAAAGAATCCCCAGCATCCCGGAACAGCAGAGGCACTGCCACAGGCCGGGAGGTCCGGCTTAAGCCGGCTTCGCCCATGTCTTCGGCTGCCTCTGCGGAGGATGCTTACGGGTTTCCCTAAACCCTAGCCCTAAACCTTAGACCCTAATTAGACCCTAAACCCTAAACCCTAAACCCTAAACCCTAAACCTTAATCAGACACTCTGTCCCGTTCGCTGCATCCTTACGCCTTTGAACCCCTGAACCCTTAACCCTTAACCCGAAACCCAAAACCTTACTCGCTGGGAACCCTGTGAACCCCGAAACCCTAAACTCTGCACCCTTTGAACCCGTAAATCCTACACCCTCGAACCCTTGAACCCTGAACCCCTAACTTCTCAGACAACCCCTAGCCCTAAACCCTAAACCCTAACCCCTAACACCCTCTCCTAAATCCTAAACCCTTCTAACCTCTCACACCCTCACCCTAAACCCTAAACCCTAAACCCGACACCCTAGCCCTAAACCCTAAACCCCTCGAACCCCTAAACCCCTAGCCCCCTGCGTCCCCCGAAGCCAGCCTCACGCCGCGCCCCACCGGCGCCGGCGCCTTGGCTTTGGGTTTGGCCTTCGGAGCTCCTGATGTCAGGAGATAGGATTTAGGGTTTATAGGGTTTAGGGTTTAGGGTTTAGGGTTCAGGGTTCAGGGTTTAGGGTTTAGGGTTTAGGGTTTAGGGTTTAGGGTTTAGGGTTTAGGATTTAGGGTTTAGGGTTTAGGGTTTAGGGTTTAGATAATTAGGTTTAGGGGGTTCTGAACCCTAAGCCTTATATACAAGGGCTTGCGGATTTGAAGGAAAATCTCCACAAAATGCCAGGGGCGCTCGGGCTAAGAGACCACTCTTGACCTTGAGTTTAGGGCATAGGGTGTTTAGCGTTTTGAGCTTGGGGTTTAGAGAACTTTGGGGTTCAGGGTTGAGGGTTTTAGGGTTCAGGGTTTAGGGTCAAGGGCTTCGAGGGTTGATGGTTGAGGCCCTGTCAACAAAGGAGGAGGTCCGCGCACACCGTTTCCACACGCTACACAGCAATGAAGCCAGTCACTCCTTCCCCTCCAACCCCAAATCTGTAAACAAAGCCGTATAGGGGGGTCGGATGAGAGTAATAAAGGGGTGACAATGGTGAAATTCGGCTGGCCAGGAACCTACAATCTTACTGAAGATTGCTTAAGAGTTCCATTGCAGATTGACGTTTCAGCTGAGCTGGCTTGAAAGAGCTCCAGAGCTCACTCTTTAGAGAAGCAGATCTCGTTTGAGATTGCTGCAGCTCCAGAGCTGCGAGAAACCGCTCCTTCCGGCCTGTTTCTTCAGAGACGCAGGTGTCTGTTTGAAATTGCTGCAGCTCCAGAGCTGCGAGAAACAGCTCCTTCAGGCCTGTTTCTTCAGAGAAGCAGGTGTCTGGAAACCGACAGAGTTCTGAAAGCAAGGTTTCCTTACTTGAATCCTTATCTGCCGAGGCTCGAACATACATCCGGAAAGGGCATCCCTTACGGGCCTCCAAACGGACTATCATAAAGGGGTGGCAATAAGAGTTTCGGCGACGGGGGTGGGGGGGGGGAAACCAAGGAGGCCTCAAGTGTTAAACATAGCCTGCCTCTAAGGTTTAGGGTTTAGGGTTTAGGGTTTAGGGTTTAGGGTTTAGGGTTTAGGGTTCATGGTTTAGGGTTTAGGGTTTAGGCTTTAGGCTTTAGGCTCCCGTTAAGCTTGCAACTTCAACCAGCTGGTCCCAGACCCGAGACCCCCAGACCCCCAGACCCCCAGACCCCCAGACCCCCAGACCCCCAGACCCCCAGACCCCCAGACCCCCAGACCCCCAGACCCCCAGACCCCCAGACCCAGGAATTCATTGTTTTCAGCCCCTCTTCTTTTTTTGGATCCTCAAGTCCCCGGAAACCAAACAAAATCTGGGGTGGGGGGGGGAGGAGGGTGTTTTCATGTCACCCTGACTTATAGATCCTCAACCCCCTCTGTGCCCTAAAGCACACCGGGCCCTGTACAAAGCCTGCGCTCTTCTCCTAAACCCTAAACCCTAAACCCTAAACCCTAAACCCTAAACCCTAGACCCTAAACCCTAAACCCTAAACACCTGAACCGTAAATCCTAAACCTTCAACCCTCAACCCTAAACCCTAAACCCCAGGGTGCACCTGCAGGCTTCGCCTTACTCTTCGGAGCGCTGGGCAGCGAGGGAAATGCCTCTCATCGGGAATGATCTCTGAAGCCTTGAGGGGTTTAGGGTTTAGGGTTTAGGGTTTAGGGTTTAGGGTTTAGGGTTTAGGGTTGAGGTTTGCAGGTGTTTGGGGTTTCTGGGGGTTCTGGGGTTTAGAGGACTTTTAGGGTGTTTTGGGCTTTGCAGGGTTTAGACGTTTGCGGATCAGGGGTCATGGCACAGGCAGTTGAGGGTCTAGATGCTTTCCCTCGAAGCCATGGGAGAAGCAGTCCTTATGCGGCGATCCGAGCCCTCTACAGCACTCTACCCTAAACCCTGAACTCTAAACCCTAAACCCTAAACCCTAAAACCTAAACCCTAAACCCTACACCCTAAACCCAAAACCCAAAACCCTAAACCCTAAACCCTAAACCCTAAACCCTAAACCCTAAACCCTAGCCCTAAACCGTAAACCCTAAACCCCAAACCCTGAAGCTTGCAGCTGTCCGGGGTTTAGGGCTTCGAAGTGCGCACGCACATGCGCAAACGTGACGCCTTCCATGGGACTGGACCGCTCAAACGTGCACCCGACTTGTTCTCCTATTGATGGGTTTAGGGTTTAGGGTTTAGGGTTTAGGGTTTAGGGTTTAGGGTTTAGGGTTTAGGGTGTTTAGGGTTGATGTCCACGTCGCACTCTTTTCCCCACTGCGAGAAAGGACCTCACTCGGTGTGAATTGCAGCCATACTTGGAGTTTCATGGTTCTCATGAACCAGTTATAACTGTACTTAGAACCCGGTTCTAAGCCCCCTTGAGTGCCCTAATATGGTTATAAGTAAAGCTACAAGCACAGTTATATTTGGTAAATAAGTACCATGAACCTCCAAGCAGTGTTCGGGACTCAGGCCGCTCACCCCCTCACAGATAAGGGTTTCGAGCTTCGGGTTTTGGACCCAGAGCCCTGCCCTATGAACCCCTGAAACCACCCCAAACCCCCAGCCCTAAACCCTACAAACCCTACAACCCTTATAAACCTCTCAACCCTATATAAACCTTATTACAACCCTCTCTGGGCCCTCTAAACCCTCTAAAGCCTAAGTTATCAACCCTCTAAGCCCTTTGAATCCTACAAACTCCAAATCCTGCCCCTCCCAAAGTCCCCTCCCCTCCCGAGATCCCCCCCCCCCCCCCCCAAACCCTAAACCTAAACCCTCAACCCTAAACCCTACCCCTAAACCCTAAACCCTAAACCCTAAACCCTAAACCCTAAACCCTAAACCCTAAACCCTGCACCTCTGCTGGTGCCGGCGCCGACGACTTTGCCCAAGCACCTGCAAGGCTACTGACTCTTAATAGGCTGTGGGGTTTAGGGTTTCCGGTTTAGGGTTTAGGGTTGAGGGTGCAGTAGGGAATGCGGGAATTACGGGTACCTTATATCCCCGTATACTAACCCTGTAAGGGATTCTATAAGGTACCCAACTTCGTCATCCCCTGCTAAGAACCTTTAAGCCAGGTTCCGAACCTGAGCTCTTGTGTTTTTCTAGCGCAGCGCGAGGCAACACCCGCAAATCAGTCAATGTTGAAAATTGCGGTGAACAACGAAGAGGTCAACGGAAACAAATGGGGTGAAACATGAACAGTTGAATAGCTAGGTTAGGATGAAAAAGAAAAAGGGAATAAGGGTACTACTGGGCATCCTAGATAGAAACCAGTCCACTCCCTAGAAGGTGCTGGTTGTATGCGCCTTGCGATGTCCTCCATCATGCCTTGGCACAAAACCCTTCCGTCTTGTGGCGAAGCCCTCAACACTGAATTCTGCAAGCCTACACCCCAAAATCTACAAGTTTTGTTTCCAAGTAGCACCCTAAAGCCTGAACCCTAAACTCGAAACCCGAAACCCGAAACCCTAAACCCTAATCCCCCCCCCGGCCCCCGACAGGCCAAAAAGGCTCCCGAGAGGCTTGAAGAAGTCCGACACGGCACCAACAAAGCCCGTAGGGTTTGGGGTTTGGGGTTTAGGGTTTGGGGTTGAGGGTTCCTGGAATGAAAAAGGCTCGAAGGCCCGAAAGCGCTCCTGACAGGTTAGAAGGCAAATCCTGAAAAGTCACCAAAAGGCCCCCCCCCCCCCCCCCCAAAAAAAAAAAAAAAAAACACCTAAACCCTAAACCCTAAACCCTAACCCCCCCCCCCCCCCCCAAAAAAAAAAAAAAATACTTAAAACAAACTTCTGAAAAACACGCCGTTGAAGCCGACGTGCTCAGGAAGGAAATTCGAAGCAAAGAAACCTTCGCTCCAAACCCGGACACAAAGCAAAGAAACCTCTTGCGGCAGCTTGGGGTGGACCTAAACCCTAAACCCTAAACCCTAAACCCTAAACCCTAAACCCTAAACCCCAGGCCCTAAGCCCTAAACCCTAAGTAGACTCCCCAGCATGCGACCGCATTGAGAGTTACATCCCGCAGCAGGCGCCCTTTCCCAGTAGAGCCTTGTGCGCGCTGCGACGCACCAGCGCCCAATGTCGGGAAGGATTCGGATTCGGCTGCACGCGTGGGCAGGAGGGTTTAGGGTTAAGGGTTTAGGATTTAGGGTTTAGGGCAGAAGGATTTGGGAGTGGGAGAGTGGGCCTGAAGAGAGGGGTCCCGTTTATCTTCCCAACCATCGCCAAAAAGACAACGTGGGCCCTTCAGTGTTTCTTCGGAACTAGGCCACCCTGTTGCTTCTGTAACCAGTCGGATGTCGAATTATGTTGGCTGCATAGCTTCCGGTTTCAAGCAACTCCAAATCGCACATGTAAGGATATTCGACAGGTGGCGGGATTGCCCTGCCATAACGAATCCGGTATAAACGTATATAGTAAACAATATGTTGTTACTTTTTGTTTGAATACATGTAATTTCATATAATATGCAATTACGTATCATATACGGTATGATAGTCAATACAAAATGGTATCTACATGTTTCACATATCATCATGCAAATGCTGCTTAATATTTGTTAATTTCGAGTCGTATACATCTGTTCATTCATCTCCAGTTACCAGACCTGTATAAGGCCCAATGGAGGGAATGAATGGCACCTGGAACTAGAGAAAGCCAGAGCACCCTGACCTTTTCAATTCCAGTACAGGGGCGAGGTTGATCAACGCATGATGGTGCTAGGTGGGTTGCATAGTTGAGGAGTGAGGGTTTAGGGTTTTGGGTGTAGGTTCCTGGCTTCAGGGCTCTGGGTTCGTCAGCTGTGTAACCGTAGGCCCCTAGTCCACTGAACGCCTAGCCCTTCCTCCAACAAAACAGAAAGGTTCAACAACCGCTGCAAGCCCAATTGCTAAATCCAGTCCTCTATGTCTGTGTGCATGTGTGTATATATATATATATCACTACACATGTCACACAACAAAACCCAAAGCCCAACAAACCTATACATGTTCTTTCTCGCCAAGCCCTAAGCCCTAAACCCTACACCCCAAACCCCAAACCTTAAACCCAAAACCCTAAACCCGACACCCAAGCCCTGAGCCCGAAACCACTGCGGTGAACGCCTGGGTTGCGTGGCTCGGCCGTGCCTAAGACCTCCGCCGTGGCGGCCACAGCCTCGGGCTTCGGGGGATCCAAGGCTTTTGAGGATTGGGACGTTCAGTTCTAAGCCCTAAACCCTAAACCCTAAAGCCTAAAGCCTAAACCCTAAACCCCAAACCCCAAACCCGACACCCTAAACCCTAAACCCCAAACCCTAAACCCTAAACCCTTTTGAGGGTTTAGGGCATTGGGCTTCTGGAGGTTGGGCCCTTGGGGCTCCAGGCTTAAGGCTTCTGAGGGTGGAGGGCTCAGGGCCTTCTGAGGCTGTAGGGCTTTTTAGGGTTTAGGGTTTAGGGTTTAGGGTTTAGGGTTTAGGGTTTAGGGTTTAGGGTTTAGGGTTTAGGGCTCCCGGGTCCAGGATGTTTTGTTTTTCTTGTGTTTGTTTCTTTGTGTGGGGCGGAGGGGGGGGGAAGGAGGGGAGGTTAGGGTTTAGAGTTTAGGAGGGATCAGGGTGTTGTGTTTAGGGTTTGGGGCTTAGGGTTTAGGTTTTTTTTTTTTTTTTTGGGGGGGGGGGGGTGTGTCTTTAGTTGGGGGCTTGTAGACGGAGCTGACTTTGGCGCCTGAAGCTATTCGACCGTTGGGGGGTTTAGGGGATTTTAGGGGTTGCCGGGTTAATTCCTTTAGACTTCTAAAGGGTGTAGGGCTCAGGGTGTAGAGGGTGTTGAGGGGAAGTGATGTTTGCAGGATGGGAAGGTGGGGGGGGGGGGGGATTGTTATACCTAAACCCTAAATCCCTAAACCCTGAACCCTGAAACCCTAAACGCTAAACTTCTAAGCTTAAACCACCCCAAGACCGAGACCTGCAAGCGACTGTCCTTCACCGAATCGGCAACCATGCCCCGGTTAAGGGGCAAAGGACGGACCCGTATAGGGGGCCGAGAGGCTATAGCAGAGCTACTTTTGGAACCGCCCTAGGCACGTACTGACTCGTGTAGGTATGCCTGGTTGAGACCTCGACCTTTTCCCGACTTGCTAGGTATTCTGGACTCCTTTAGACAGGTATAGGGCTCTATAGGATGCTGTCATAAGGGTCGCTTCTAGAGGGCCTTGCCGTATAACATTCATTGTTCCCAGGGGCATGCTGTGCCGAGCTCACGCGAATGTCATCGTCATCAATGACCTCGTGCTCGCACTCAATCGGCAGTTTCAGGGGGTCTAGGGCCATAAGGGGTATGCAAGGGTTGCGGGTTTAGGGTGATAAAGGGGCATGTAAGGGGTTAAGGTGCTGGGGTCTAGGGTTTAGGCTGCTAAGGACTCATGAAGGACTATATAAAGGCTGTAACGGCAAAATTGCGCAGTGGAAACTTGCTGACACCATATCGGAGACTCCCCCCCCCCCCTAGAGCGGTCTCCACAGATTTAGTACCTTGGAATAAGAAAACCTGACTCTAAACCCTAAACTCTAAACCCTAAGCCCCAATTCTAAAACTTAAGCAGTACACGCCGGCACTCAGCCCTGACATGAAACGCTGGAGCCATAGGCCAGAAGCCTCCAAGTGCAAACTCGAAAAGCCCCAAACCCCTAAACCCTAAACCCTAAAGCCTTAACACTAAACCCTAACCCCTAACCCCTAAACCCTAAACCCTAAACCTAAACCCTAAACCCTAAACCCTAAGCTGAGAAGCAGTGAGTCCGCCATCGTTGTAGTTGATGGCGCGGCCGCGCGAGTCGAGGTCTCGCACGCTGAGCCTAAACGGTGGAGGCTGGAAGGTCCTATATGTGGTCTGCTGGTCAATTCCGGAAACTCAGGTAGTCCGGGCGAAACCCTAAACCCTAAACCCTAAACCCTAAACCCTAAACCCTAAACCCTAAACCCCGTGGGGGTTTACAGGGGTCGGGGTTTGGTGGTGTAGCGTTTTGGGTTCGAGGGATAGAACAAAGGCCCTTTCATGTAGACCTACCATGCTTTCCAACTTCGGGTCTTCGGGCATTCAAGGTGAACTGCAACGCCCCGAACCTTAGATACCTTAAATCTCCTGCACGCTGAACCCCTGAACCCCTGAACCCCATAACCCCGAATTCCCCAAGCAGACCCTAACCCCCTGACACCTTCAACTCCTTAAACCCTAAACTAGACCCAGGAGTAACCTAGGAACAAAAAGGATACCCTTTTGGTTTAGAGGGGCTTATAAGGGAACCCAAACCCTAAAACAAGGGAATAAGGGCCTACTCTGGGTCCTCGTAGTCCTAAACCCTAAACCCTAAACCCTAAACACTAAGCCCTAAGCCCTAAAACAGCGACCAGCGGCCGAAAGAGGTGCTGGAAGACGGCCGTCGCCTCGCGACGTACGAGGTCGGAGCCGCCACCTATCGATGCGGTTGAGGGTTTGGGGGGTTTAGGGTTTAGGGTTTAGGGTTTAGGGTTTAGGGTTTAGGGTTTAGGGTTTAGGGTTTAGGGTTTAGGGTTTAGGGCAGTAGATGCAGGTGTGGAGTTGTTAGTTTTTTGACGTTTTTGGGTGGGTTAGTTCAGAGTCTGGTGGTTGATGAGATGCCAATGCCCCCTCCAAAACATCTGCCTGACGCAATTAGGGGCTTCGGGGAAGAGCTGGCAGGGGCATGGCAACAAAGGCGGACGGCCCAGAAGGAAACAGGAGCTTCTGACGCCAACAGCTGCCTCTCCATACTAAACCCCAAGCCCCAAACCCTAAACCCCAAACCCTCAACTCTATAAACCCGTTCTGACCTAGAACCTTCCTTGCGACATCGCTCCGAAGCTCAGCAGAGCCCGTGGCTCTCTGCAACTACTCGCTGCAACCCACCATTCCTGGTACATAAGAACCCTCTGAATCCTTCAGGTGCTCCCTGTATCTGAATGAAGCCCAAACCCAGGCACCGCCGTTCTTCTGGAAGAGGTCGAAGGCATCCGTGACGGATGTAGCCTTGCGACACCAGTCATGGAGTAGCGAGTTTATATCAACTTTAGACCCTAAACCCCCTAAATCCCAAACCCTAATTCGGCTTCTGAACTCGCTAAGCTCCCCAAAAAGCCACACCACTAGTTCAAAAACATCAGAAAGAAACAGGGGGGGGGGGGGGGGGGGGGGGGCCGGGGTAAAGGAGGGACCCTTTTAAGGTAAGGGACCTTAGGGGTCATAATTACAAGGGTTCTATAGAGGAATAAGATTTAGGGTCCCTTCGAAGATTCCTCTTATACCCTTAAATAGAGTTTGAGGAATGCGGTTTGAGCGTAAGATCTTGGGCTCCTGGCTAGGTTCAGGACCTCCCTGTCTGACAGTCGCTCGAAGCAGTTGCCGGAAGACCCCAAATGCCCACCCTAAACTCCACACCCTAAACCTTCTCAGTTCCACCCGAAGCCCTATAATAAGCCCCATCAAACCCGACACCCTAAACACTTACCAGGGTCCTAAACGAACAGCACCGGACGTGCCCTGGTGCCTGCGTTGCTACATTACAGCTGACAAGGATGATGAGAAACGACCCTCAACTTTGCCCCTGCGTTTTCACCATTAGACCCTAAACCCTAAACCCTAAAACCCCGGTCGCACCTGTTGCCCGGGATAGTGCGCCCGCAAATGAGCATCCAGGGCAAGGCACTCCTGTCGCACGCATGGCTGTAGGGTGCCATGTCAGGGCTTCTGGGTTGCCAAAGGCCTGATCCTAAGCACTACTGCTCCTAGAGATAGCCCTAAACCCTAAACCCTAAACCCTAAACGCTAAACCCTAAACCCTAAGGCGTAACAGACTAGCATCTCAGAACACTTACACAAGCTCCGGAGAGTACCCCACCCCTTCCTGAGTCTTCAGCGGGAATCGGGAACTAGGTATCTTCAAAAAACCCTAAAACCTAAACCCTAAACCCTACAACTAGAGGGGACTCTCTGAGGTACCTCATGCCATATGTCCCTCCTGACTAGCTAAACCCCACTGTGCTCCCCAGCTTACAAACGACATCTGCTCAAACAGCCCAGCACTCTACCCCCCAGTTCAGGGTTCAGGGTTTAGGGCTTACGGTTTAGGTTTGCGTTTTAGGGTTTAGGAGTTCAGGGTTCACGTTTGGGTTTTGGGAACTTCAACCTTAATTCGGAATCAGGGCTCCTACGTGGTTTAAGGTGTGTTCTTCATAGGGAGAGGGGGCGCCTGAACCCCCTAAACCCTAAACCCTAAAACCTAAACCCGAAACCCTAAACCCTAAACCACAAACCCTAAACCTGCCATGTTTGCATCCTGGCTGTTGGACCAGAACTGGTGCAAACCCTACTTGGAGGTTCAGAGTACAAATTACCCAATCAGAAAGTGTGGCTATAACCCACTTGTAAGCCCCTGAAGTACCCTAAATAGGGATATGTAGAGTTCTAGTTGGGTTACTAAGTACCATGAACCTCCAAATAGACCCCCAAACCCTAAACCCGACACCCTAAACCCTGAACCCTAAGCCCTAAACCCGAGATCCTGTAACTTGCGAAAAAACATACACTCCTCATAGGGGATTGAGTTCAACCCTTCGCCCTGAGCCCTGAACCCTGTAATTGTCCCTAAACACTTGGGGCTTAGGGTTTAGGTCTTAGGCTAGGTTGCCCAGAAACCTAGGATGAAAAAGGGTGCCCTTTTTTGCTTAAAGGGGTTTACAAGGGAACCTCAACCTACCACAAAGGGAACAGGGGTACTACTGGGCATCCTAGTAGGGCTTAGAAACCCTGCTGAATTTCAGCTGGGCGCCTCCCGCGTCAGCGCTTTGCGGTTGACGGGGTTGATGAAATCGAAGGAGCTAAGCCTTGGATTAGCCCAGCTGACAAGGGTTTAGGGTTTAGGGTTTAGGGTGGTGGTGTCGGGGTTGTTAGGGTTTTAACATCTTGTAGACATGAAAAAGGCGACGGGCTTAAGGTTGGCCTACAGCAACCTGTATGCTCCAAGAGGTACCAGACTCATGGGATTTTTTTCTACGAAACTTACTCAACCCTTGTAAACTCTGAACCCTGAACCTTGAACTCTTAAACCCACAGATGGGTTAGTTCTTGCTTAGGCTTTTGGGTCGCATGAGGTCTGGCCGGGATATTGATGATGCCAGGGCTCAGAACCTGGGGCCCACCCAATTTCCCATTTTGTACAGACAAGAAAAGTTTAAAGTTCGCCCGAAGGCTCAGCAAGGTTTAAGTTTACACTTCAGGTTATCATGAAATAAACAGCTGTAGGGCTTCTAGTGTCAGTTGGCTAAGTACGTTCGAAGGCCTAGAACCTAAACCCTAAACCCTCAACCCTAAAGCCTAGACCCTAAGTAAGCGCCAAAGGCACAGGAAGCTTGCCAGAAACCGGGCATCGAAGTAGTGAGGAACCGCGGTGCCCCCTGGCTGCAAGCAGAACCTCGGACCACAATTATGGGGGTTAGGGTTTAGGGTTTAGGGTTTAGGGTTTAGGGTTTAGGGTTTAGGGTTTAGGGTTTAGGGTTTAATTAGGGTTTAGGGCATGGGGATGATAAGGGTTTAAGGCATACTTTCTAGGTTGCGATCGTGACCGCCCTCGCTCGCACGTTTTAATCAAGTAGATCCAAGAGCAACCTGGGAATAACAAGGGTCGGTACCCTTTTTGGGTTTAGGGTTTAGGGTTTAGGGTCTAGGGTCTAAAGGCTCACAAGTGGTTAACGGCACCGAACTCTTGGGAAGGGAACGAACGGAGTATACTGGCATCCCAGTCATCCAGGTCGGCTTGTACTGAACGATGCTGATCGAGCCTAAACCCGACACCCCGCAACCCCGCAACCAGAATAACGCACAACCAAAGGAGAACTAAGGGTTATCTGGGCAGTCCGTTAAGGGCGGCGAGCAATTCAGGCTTATAGGTTTGATCACACAACTTACATGCGAACTAAAACCTGACCCCTGTATTCTTACCAGTTCTTAACCGAACTCGGGGCACAGGTTCGGTATATCACACAAAGGAAGCCTTCTCAAGTTACGGGAGTATATGTAGGGAACCAAAACCCTAACAAACTCCAGGCCCTGAGCCCGAAGCCCAATACCCTAAATCCTAACCACCAGCCCAAAAACCTGAAACATAAAATCCTAGAGACCCTAACCCGAAACCACAAACCCTAAACCCTAATCCCTAATCCCTAATCCCTAAAACCTAAACCCTAGTAAGTAGCCCCTAGCCCACGCTTTCAGCGCTCGGGCACGGAGGCGCCGTCAACTCGGCAATGGGAACAAGAGAGATGGGACCTGACTTGGCGCCGTAGGGTTCAGGGTTTAGGGTTACGGGTTTAGGGTTTAGAGGTTTCGGGTCTAGGGTTTAAGGCTAGGGCTCAGGGTTGAGGGGGTTTAGGGTTGAGGGTTTAGGGTTTAGGGTTTAGGGTTTAGGGTTTGGGTTGCTAAAGCTGCGTTGTTGCTGAGATCTTTGGGGGGTTAGGGTTGTGAAGGTGGCGAGTTGATGTGTGGGTCTCTTCTTGCAGCCTTTGGGAGAGTTTGCCATCAGGATTTCGGTCTCCACGAACCCTAAACTCATGGCTACCTTGGACCCCCTAAGCTTGTGCCCCTGGGTTTGGGAACCCTTTAAAAGATCCACGGGAATGCAAGCCGGGCTACATGAGGAGTACACATATTAAGGGCACCCCTGGGTTGCACATCCTCAGGGGTCCAATCACGAGTCCCTTGATACCTGTAAACCCCAAACCCTAAGCCCCGAACGCGGCTCGCTGCCTCCGCAAAGGCCCGAAACCTAAAACCAAGCTTCTTTGCGGAAGCTATGTTGTCATACAAGAACCCGAAACAGCAGAAAAGGAAATCGCATCCCTGACACGGAACCAATCACGCCTCCAAAGCCCCTGAAACAGAAAGCAACTTATCTTGAACCCTAAACCCCAAAACCTTAATTAAACCCTAAACTCTAAGCCCTGAATCCTAAACCTTAAAGCCTAAACCCTATACCATGAAGCCACTATTGCAGTCACTACTAGTTGCTTAAGAACCCCCGCCCCTCCCCCCCCCCCCCCAAAAAAAGAACAAAAACACAAAAATGTACTATAGAAATAATAATCCCCCATAGTACCCTTATAGGGAAGAATGTTTTTTTTTTTTTTTTTGTGTGGGGGGGGGTTCATAAGCAATTCCTAAACCCTAAACCCTAAACAAACCTGCTTGGCCAAGGAGCAGTCGCCATCGACTCTGGACCACCAGCCGGGTTCGCGTCGACGCTCCTGGCAGAAACATTCTGTTGGGACTGCTGGGATGCCCGACACTCTCAACAAACCCTGAACCCTAAACCCTAAAGCCTAAACCCTAAACTTAGACCCAGAACGTACGGTCTGAGGATTGCTTGGCTGCCTTTGGTTTAGGATTTTCGGTGTCTTTGGAGCTGGTCGTCGGTGAACAACAAGGCAGGCTGTGACCCTGAACATTGGTCGCGTATATGGGAACACGGCTCAGCAGGCCAGCGACCCACACCTGACCTAAACCTCAGCCCCTGAACCCTCAAAACCCTTAAGACCCTAAAAGACTTCAGCCCCTGAACCCTAAAAACCCTGAAGACCCTAAACCCTAAACTCTAAACCCTGAAGCCCCTAAACCCAAAACCCTAAACCCTACATTCCCCTAAAGCCCTAACAACCCTCAACCCTTGCAAGCCCTGGCCCGAATCCCGAAGAAAACCCAAAGCCTGCATCCCTCAAGCCACCAACACATCTGAAGGGTTTAGGGTTTAGGGTTTAGGGTTTAGGGTTTAGGGTTTAGGGTTTAGGTTTGGCACTTGGCCCTTGTCCTTCTTTCCCTTGCCTTTGCCTTTGCTCTTTCCTTTCCCTTTCTTGCCTTGGCATAACACTCTGGGAGCGAAACGCAGACTTCAGGGTTGAGAGGTGAGGGTGTAAGATGTAGGGTTTACGGTTTAGGGCTTGGGGATTGGGGTTTAGGGTTTGTTTGGGGGGGGGGGTGTTATATGGCCGTAGGGGCCGTTTCCGGGGCCTCCCATAAGCACAGACCATATTTCTAACCTGGCTGTACGCCTCTTGCATGCAGCTACAAGCACATCTGAGTCAATGAAGACTTCACACCATTCACTTGTCAAACGCAAAGGGAGAACTGGACTTGGAGAGCCCACGAAAATTAGCGGGCTGTGCTGATCCAGACCAACTAGACAACCATCTAGTAAAGGCAAAAGAAGGAGGAAGACATTGGACAACCCCAAGCCCTAACCCACCCTAAACCCTAAACCCTAAACCCTAAACCCTAAACCCTAAACCCTAAACCCTAAACCCTAAACCCTAAACCCTAAACCCTAAACCCTAAACCCTAAACCCTGAACCCCAAACCCTACTAAACCCTAAAAAAACCCTAAACCCCAAACCCCCGGATGTGCAGGCAATGCCCGCAGCTCAAGGCTTGGAGCCTCGGGCGGGCTTGAAACCCACTGTAGACTCAGGTAGGGCTCTCTAGGGCTTTCATTCTATAGGTTTAAGGTTTCGGGTTTGGGGTCTGGGGTTTTCATTCTATAGGTTTAAGGTTTCGGGTTTGGGGTCTGGGGTTTTCATTCTATGGGTTTAAGGTTTCGGGTTTGGGGTCTGGGGTTTTCATTCTATAGGTTTAAGGTTTCGGGTTTGGGGTCTGGGGTTTTCATTCTATGGGTTTAAGGTTTCGGGTTTGGGGTCTGGGGTTTTCATTCTATAGGTTTAAGGTTTCGGGTTTGGGGTCTGGGGTTTTCATTCTATAGGTTTAAGGTTTCGGGTTTGGGGTCTGGGGTTTTCATTCTATAGGTTTAAGGTTTAGGGTTTGGGGTCTGGGGTTTGGGGTTTAGGGTTTGGGGTTTGGGGTTTAGGGTTTGGGGTTTGGGGTTTTTGGGCGCTTTAGTGCTTGCCAAGGGCTATCAGGTGAAAAAAGCTAGGGGCTCTTGAAAGTCTTGTGCTCCTGGGAAAGACAGACGCTGGGAAGGCCGGCCTTTCCCATCAGCTTCGGCCGCTGGCGGAGCCTCTGGCGCCTAGGTTTACAAGGTTTTGCTTGGGATGTTCCCCCCTTATACTAGTTAGGGGCTAAACCCTAAACCCTAAACCCTAAACCCTAAACCCTAAACCCTAAACCCTAAACCCTAAACCCTAAACCCTAAACCCTAAACCCTACACCCTAAACCCTAAACCCTAAACCCCCAAGTACCCCTGTTAAGGACTGCTAGTATAAGGGGTAACATCCCCAGGTCTCATTCTAGGCCAGCGCTCAAAACCCCACTTTGTCGTGTGGGTTGGCCCCCACCTTTAGGGTTTTGGGGTTAGGGTTTAGGGTTGAGGGTTGAGGGTTTAGGGTTCAGGGTTTAGTTGTCGCAAAAACCGGCTGTTGTTACAAACCTTTTTGTCGCGCTGTGAGCGCCTGGGCCGGTTACAAGCCCTAACGTTTTGAGCTTATAAGCCCTGAACCCTGAACGCGAAAGACCTCCCTCCCCGCCCATTCCCTGAAACAAAAAAGAAAACGACCTCCCTAAACCCTGAAACCTAAACCCTAAACCCGAAACCCTAAACCCTGAAAAACATGTCAATTTCTGGACATGGCCTCGGGAGCTGCCTTCAGCGCCGGCGCTGGCGCTGGAGAGGCGAACGCCTTGAGCTGAGGGCCGGAGAGCTTAACGGTTCAGGGTTAGGATTTAGGGTTTAAGATTTTAGGGTTTAGGGTTAAGGGTTTTGGGGTGTTGGGCGGGGTTTAGGGTTTAGGCTTTTGGGTTGTTGGGTTTAGGGTTTTGGGTTGCGGGGTCTAAGGTACACTTGGTCAAAACAGCGGCAAGTAGACGAATCGCTCGCTCTGCTCTGAGCCCCTAGAAGCCTGAACCCTAAAAAAGCCCTAAGCCCCGAACCCGAAACCCTAGTAAACCCTAAACCCTAAACCCCAAACCCCAAACCCTAAACCTTAAACCCCAAACCCTAAACCCCAATCCCCACAGCCTAAACCCCGATAACAAATGAAAAATAACCCTAAAGCCTGAACCCCCACCTGTGTGGCCGCCGAGGGCTCCTCAATTTCCTCCTCTTCTTCTTCCTCCTCCTCGCCGGCCTGGGACTCCCGAGGCTTACTTTTTTGTTAGGGCGTTTAGGGTTTTTAGGGTTTTGGGTTGTTTAGGGTTTTGTAGGGTTTTTAG